GCCTGCTCCCCCTCCCCCCGCCTCCCAGGCGGGCGCCTGCCGGCGCCGGGCCGGCGCCACCGGCTGGAGATGGCCGTGGCAGCAGCAGCGCGGTTTGGAGAACTCGGAAGCGCCCCGCTCCCGGGGTGCCCGCTGGGCAGAGTGCCTCCGGAGAAGACTAAGATCTGAGAGAAACGGCCACACAGACACCGGGTCAGTGAACACGGAGCTGGAGGAGGTGCCGGAGCGGGGATTCCCCCGCGGTGAGAAGGCAGCGGCCCCTGCTGCAGCCCGTGGAGACTAACTGTGGAGCAGAGACCACCCGCAGCCCAGGGAGAAGCCCACGCTGGAGCAGAGATGCTGAGCCCAAAGGAGGTTGTGGAGAATGAGACTCATGACGAAGTAGAGATGTATCTAAAGTCTGTGGAAAAACCCATGCCGGTCCCTAAGAAGCCGTGACTCTGAGGTAAAAGCCCATGCCAGAGCAATCTGATGGGTAAGGATTGCATCCTGCAGATAGGACTCACCGTGGAGAAGTCAACAGACTGTCCCGTGAGGAGGGAATCCAGTTAAGCAGAGAAAAGAATGTGAGGAGTCCTCCTCCTTTGGGAAAGGATTGGCTGAAACAACATGGGATGAACTGACCCGCAGCCCCCATTGCCCGTCCCCCTGCGCCACTGAGGAAGGAGGAGGTAGAGCCAGGAGGAAAGGAGGAGTGAGGAGAGGTGTTGTTTTTAAGATCGGGCTTTGTTTCTTGTTATCCTCTCAAGTAACTGTTGATAAATTAAATTGATTTGTCTCCAAGGTGAGTCTGTTTTGCCCCGACCATGGTCGGTGGGTGCTCCCTCCCTGTTCTTATCTCGACCATCAGTCCTTTTATCACATTTTTCTCCTCTCCACCTCACTGAGGGGAGGAGTGAGTGAGGGACCTCCTGGTAGCGGCCGGATGGGGTGAACCCTGACACCCATTAACATGGAGTTCTGTGTGTTTCTCTTGCTTCTGAGCTGAGGGAGGTGAAAAGGTTGAAATTGACCAAAAACATACATAGCTCCACATTTATTAATTGACACTACATTTACTGGTAGCATAATAATTGAAGGTGACATTAAATATCTTCTCCAGTACTGAATACCATTAGGACTTATTCACCTTCCATTCTGCTGGCAAAATCGTTACATTTCTTCTGAAGGACATATGAAGAACTGCCTGTGTTGTAATGCTATCAAATTATTTGGCATTTATCCCACACCAAAGTCCAGACAGAATATATTCCCAGCTAGGGTGGACATAATGATGCAGTATGTAAGGCCACAGCATGAATAACATTGCAAAATATAGCATGAAACTTTCCTATGAGCATATGCAAAACTAAATTTTGCCGCTCCAGCAGTGAAGTGAGAAGGACTGGATTTAGCCATGTTGTTCCTTTTGAGGGTCTGGAGGGGAATCGGAGAGAGAGGAAATGCCTGAAGTATCAGGCTTGCTGTGTGTAGAGGATGGGGCTGTTGGAGGGAATCACCATACCCTGCAGCCAAGCTGTCCCACCTCACACATTTAGATTTTTTCTTTTTTTTTTTTTTTCTTTCTTATGCTAGAGGTAGCAGAGTAGTTTTCCATGCCAAAAGGTAGACAAAATAGGCAAAAGATGATAGATATTTTTATATTCCCAAAAGTCTGATGTCATGAGTAACTGGTCCAATTCCTGTCTTTCTCACTAACACCTGAGAGTATGATAATTCTAGAGGTTTACTTGGAATGTAAGGGAATGTGCTGGGTTTATGTGGTAGGGCTTTCGTAGCGGGGGAGGTGCTACAGGGATAGCCCCCTGTAAGGGGCTGTGAGAAGCTCCCCCCGGCTCCAAAACCAGTCTGGTCAGACCTTCCTCTGGCCAGGGCTGAGCCAATCAGCACCTCTGTGAATGATGTATTTAAGAAGAGGACAAAGGAACCTGGGCCATGCAGGACCTGGAGTGACAGAGAGAGAGAGGAGGAAGGGTTCTGGTCCCTTGGTCTCCTGCACAGGCAGTTATCCATGCTGGCCTGCCACCACTCAACTGGAAATGGCCGCTGCCACGAGACTTGGAGAGCTCTGAAGTGCCTTGCTCCCTGGGTGCCTGCTGGGCGGAGTTTGTTCTGTCCGGACTGCCGAGTTTTGATGGGCTGGTAGTGCCCAGTGCAGCTGCAGCAGAAAGATGACGGGGATCTGAGAGAAACAGCTATGTAGACACCAAGGTGAGTGAAGATGAAGAGGGAGGAGGTGTGCTTGAGCTGAGATTCCCCTGAGGTGAGGTGGCAGGCTGCCCCTCTGACGCTCATGAGAGGAACAGTGGAGCAGAGATCCACCTGCAGCTTGTGGAGAACCCCATGCTGGAGCAGAGATGCCTGTGCCCAAAGAAGTTTCTAGAGGACTGTCTCTCATTGGAAAGGACCACAGACTGCTGGAGATTAACAGTGAAAGAGACATGCGTCTGCAGTCTGTGAGAAGGGACCCCACACTGGGATGGGTGACTGCACCGTAAGAAATCATGTCTGATGGGTAAGGACTGGATTCCGCAGGAAGGATTCACATTGGAAAAATTTGTGGAGAACTGTCTCCCATGAGAAGAAACTCCATGGTGGAGAAGAGGAAGAGTCAAAGAAGTCTTCCCCCTGAGGAGGAAGGAGCAACAGAAACAGCATGTGGTGAAGTGACCTGCAACCCCTATTCCCTGTCCCCCTGCACTGCTGTGAGGAGGAGGTAGAGCCGGGAAAGAAAGGAGGGGTGCGGAGAAGGTGTTTTTAAGATCTGGCTTTGTTTCTCATTATCCTCTCTGAATGAATTGGTAACAAATTGAGTTGATTTTCCCCAAGTGGAGTCTGTTTTGCCCGGAGCTGTGATTGGTAGGTGATCCTTCCCTGTTCTTATGTGGACTCTCACCCATTTTGTTACATTTTTCTCCTCTGCACCCCACCTGGGAGGAGGAGTGAGTGGCCACATGGTAGCTTAGCTGCCGGATGGGCTAAACCATGACAGTGAATCTTCAACTGCATGATATGAAAAAGAGCTGTATACCCACATCGCTTCCCAAAAGAATGTGTTACATGCTTGACTTTATGAAAAAAGAATCTTTATTATTGCAGATGTTTTACTCTGAATAAAACAAAAAGGATCCATTAAACCAAAGAGGAAACGCCATTAAGTGAACTTGGTGATTGAGAGGCATAAGGAATGTTAATAATTAATGTTATTTTCATAGTATTGCATGGACTAAATTCCCCTGTGGCTCTCTACTTTTCTTGCATCATAGTTCACCTTTTGGTCTTTTTTTTTTTTTTTTTTAATCTGTTTTGTTTTGGTTTAGGTTGTCAGTCTTTCACACAAATATTTCTTAAGACTTACCTTGAACATTGCTGTCTGAATAGGAAAGAGATAAGCTGCCACTCAATGACTGTGTAAACATTGTTTTTCTGATATTGTCTTATATTTCAGACAATATGTGCCCTCTATTTTAGCTGGTTCATCCTCAGGTCATTTCTCGCAAATGTAGAATGTAAGTGTGAAGAAAATGTTTTCTTATTGGTTTCTATAGCTACCAGTCATCATTGTAAACTAAAATTTGAGCTGTAGCTAGGTACCTTAGGACCATAACTAAATATTGGAAATTCTGAGGCTATTCAGTACTATGGAAATATAAAATCAGTTATAATGAAAATGAGGTATAGAATCCGCATTTCTTAGTAGAAGTTGTAACGTTTGCTCTATGTTTTCTTTCTTTCTTTCATGTCCTTTTAACACTTATAAATGAGTTCTGCTTACTTCTTTAAGGTTTTACTGTGGTGTGCTCAATGGTGACAAGCCTAAATCTAGTGATGAGGAAAAAAAAAAAGAAATTACGGAAGAGTCTAAGGCAGTCTTCTCGGATAGAAATTAGGCCTGTATATAAATGGATATTCTCAGGTCATCCCATTTTGCAAAACTTGAACTTGAACTAAGTATAGGTCAGTTAAAGTAGGATTTACAGTAAAAATGAAAGCTGCAGATGATTATCATAGAATAATCCTTATACTTAGTTTTTATTTGGAAAAACAGCAATTCGTCAAACACTATAAAGACTTCAGGTTTAATATTTCAGTGCCATATAAATATACTTATCAGAATAAATTCTGGTCCTTTATTTCCTTGGACATGTGGTAGTCTGATTATGATATCTCTCAATGAACAGTCACTTAAAGTATGCACTGATAGTACCACCGATAGTACAATTTTAATTTTTATAAAAAAGCAACAATGAAATATTAACTTTTATCAGTTGTATAATGAAACCTACTCACTTTGAAAAGAATTATTTCAAATAAATGTTTTCCATATTCGAGTAGTTTAACACATTTATGTTTTTATTTATTTTAGGAGTGCATTTTAGCTAGACTAGAGTTGTGTGTGTGTGTTCGTTAAACTTCGTAGTTAAAATCTACTTGCAAAAGCAAAAATAACTCCAGAAAATGTGTCTAATCTTTCTTCAGTAAAGACAGCTGCAATCTGGTGAATTACAGAAGTAATCTTTCCATAATAAATAGTTTAAGGCCGCAAGAAAGGATAAAAAAGGAATTAATATAATTTTCACTCTGTCTTGGCATGCGTAAACCCAAAGTTAATTAAAAATATCCATTTTCTGCTAGCGCTCCAGCTTATGTATTTAAAAGCTATCAGTCTCTTTTTGCCCCCTTCAAGAGCAAAAATATTATATCACAGTAAAGGTACAACATAATCAATCTTCTCTAAAAGGAATGTAGGCTACTAACGTGAATAACTTCATTAATGTTTTTGAGGTATAGTATGGAGAAGAATAAAACTCAGTTACTAGTACAGAATCTGATTTTTAAATAGTATTTCTCAGAACTATTTTTATTTCGTATTTACTTTTATTACAGCAACATATGTGGTCTCAGATAATTATTCTCATTCCAGTTAAACAAAACATAAATTTAACTTCTGTTGGAAGTAAAAAAAAAAAAAAAAAGATTTCAAATGTCTCATCTTTGAGTTACTTCACCAAGTCTGGCAAAGATTTCTAATGAGATGAATTTTAGAACAAGCCCACAGATATGTGTGACTTGAAAATGGATGGTACAGAGAATGTTCCAATAACCAAAGGAACAGGAACTCCAAAGACCATCATTTTCAGCTTGATCAGATCCTTGTATTGGTTTAG